TAGAGTCACTTTAATGAATGCCATTACAAGTGCAGTTACACTAATTTTCCTTAGTAAATGTAATGTTTTAAAACTTAATTTTGTTAAGAATATCCAATCAGGTACAAGCAGGGGCGGACTGACCATTTGGAAACTCGGACACTGTTTGAGGGCCCGGGGTTAGTAGGGGGCCCCATGAGATGCCCCTGGTACTTTTTTCATAGGCTTTTTTGAGTTTGGGCAAGGACACAGGGGCCCCATGATCCCCTATTGCCTGGGGGCCCAATGAGTTGTCAGTCCGCCCCTGAGTACAAGGAAAAAAAAAAGCATTTTTGCTTGTAAATGATTGGATGATGGAAATCAGCAGAGCTTTACGACATTTACTAAGCTCTGGGAAAATGAGTGCAACTGCACTTGCAAAATGCACAGTCTGTCTTTAATAAATCAACTGCACTAGTGGTTATTTACTAAAACTAGAACACTCAGAATCTGGTGCCACTCTGCATAGAAATGAATAAGTCTCCAGGTTTTATTGTCAAAGCTTAAAACTGAAGTTAGAAGCGGATTGCCTACCATGCACAACTGCACCAGAGTTTGCACTCTCCAGTTTTAGTAAATCTCCCCCCCCAATATGTTCACATAAAACAAGGAATCATATGCATGAGAATTAAAAAAAAAATAGGCATTTCCCTTAGATGATTGAGGTGAATACTGTGCTAAGTGAACATTATATGGTTTTAGTTGTTCAACTATTCTCTTCATTGACAACGAGCAAACTCTAAAAACTGGTACAAGCAATACTTCAAGTCCTCATGCACACTGGATGTGTTTACAGCTGCTGTTTTTGGCTATTGGTGTTTTTTTTCTGCAGCAGTAAACTCCACAGCATGTTATCCTATCTGTCCATGCACACATGGGCTTTAATCAGTGTTTTTTGGCAGGGGTGATTTTGGCTGGAAAAACACCCCCAGAACTAGTGGGTTTCTAGAGGAGTTTTTTTAGCTGTAAAACCGCTCTGATGCTGAAAACCATAGTAAAATCGGCAAACTGGCTTTTTTGGGCTTTTTTTCTAGCAATTTTTTTTTTCGGTGTGTGTAAAAAAACCCGCAAAACAAATGCTAAAAACCGCAAAACACTGAAAAGCACAGAAAAACTCTGCTAAACGCTAATGCAAAAAATCTAAAAAAACTTGCGTTTTTAACGGGACTTTACACAGCTAACGCTACCAGCATTATTATAATGCCCAGTTTGCATGAATACTAAACCTCACTTGTCCTTTGCCCAAAGCAAGGAAAAGCAACACGTTTGAATCATTTTTGTTTCTGCTACTACTTACAGTGGATGCAGAGTTGGAATTTAAACACTATTCAGTTTTAAATACTGATATGTTCCCCACAAAGCTTGGGCTGTGTGTTGTGTACATAATTGCTAGGGCTTACCTCTCTCTATCAGAACATTTATTAGGAAGTCGCTCCACTGAATATGTAGATATTGATGAAACTCCCAACCATTGCCACTGTAGTTTAAATAAAATAATATAATCATCTAAAAATAGTTTTAATAAAATGTTTAAGGGCCAGTTTACACTGATGTGGTGCAGGATTTGCAGTGATTCCTATGCGTTTCCCGCACAGCAATTGCACTCCATTCATGCAAATGGCTGTGGGTGTCAATGTTAAGTTAACAACACCTTGAAAACAGTTCACAAAATGCATTGCAGTTAGCTGAATCTGATCGCATGGGTGTAGTCTGATTCCAGTACGGAAAAAAAGGGATCTGTACATTTTATAATACAAAATGAATGGCTGAAATTCCACTGAAAAATATTTGCATGTGATTTGAACAGGAAAGCTGTGTGATTCCTGGCTAAATCACATGCGGTTTCCCGCACCGCATCAGTGTAAACCGGCCCTAAAGGATGTATTCCTGAACAGTTACAAAACACATGCTGTATTATTATTGTTTCCAGTATAATATTTATCAATTGACAATAGTTTTTCTTGCAATAAACATGTATATGTATAGTTTTACTGTATATTGTGTCACCAAAATATTAGGATTTTTGTTTAGACTGGGTGATAATTTATATTGGTAGGTATTCTGCAATCTAAGCATTAGTTCCTGAATACATAGGGCCCTAAACATGAATACAACTCGGTGCCGTTTTCAGCCGCAGCGTATTTCTGCCTGCCATAATGATTGACAGGTTTCAGGCAGTGGGACTGGAAGCTGTACCTCTGCCTCCCAAGTATGTTAAAATGCAGGATTGCAAGCACAGGGGCTGGACGCCACCTATGAAAGGGGCCTTAAAGTGGACTGTCATCTAATATAATAAATTTAACTTCATTTGGGTGATATCGTGTATGTGGCTCAATCTTTACTACTCTGACAAAGTTTGGTTTAGCAACAAATGACAACTAATGCCACTTGAATTACTGGTACCTGTGATACTGGTGAATTGTTTCAGTATTGCTTGATTGTTCTCCATACTCACAGGTCCTTGCCACACATGTAGCAAGACTCCAGTTTATTGTAATCAAAGGATTAATATTTCTATCCATCCAGTTATTATTATTATTATTATTATTATACAGTATTTATAAAGCGCCAATAGTTCGCTCAGCGCTGTACATTACAAAGGGGGACAGAACATGTGACAGAACAATACCAATACAATGCAAAACATGAGGGGATCAAGGGCCCTGCTCTTTCGAGCTTACAATCTAGGAGGGAGGGGGTGGTGGCACAGGAGGAGATAGCTGTGGGGGATGGAGTGGTAGGAAGAGTGGAGGAGGTCGGCAAGTTAGCAGGGGGTGGGGTAGGCTTCCCTGAAGAGATGGGTTTTCAGGGTGCGCCTAAAGGAGAGGAGAGTAGGTGATAATCTGATGGGTTGGGGCAGGGAGTTCCAGAGGATGGGTGACACCCTGGAGAAGTCCTGGAGGCGGGCATGGGAGGAGGAGACCAGGGAACTAGAGAGAAGGAGGTCTTGTGAGGAGCGGAGTGTGCGTGCTGGGCGGTACTTGGATATTAGGTCAGAGATGTAGTACGGGGCAGTATGGTGGACAGCTTTGTACGTCAGCGTTAGGATTTTGAATTTGATCCGTTGCGCAATCAGAAGCCAGTGGAGGGATTGGCAGAGGGGGGTGGCGGAGACAGAGCGGTTGGAAAGGTGAATGAGTCTGGCAGCCGTATTCAGGATCGACTGAAGCGGGGATAGCCAGCGGCGAGGCAGGCCAGTGAGGAAGGAGTTGCAGTAGTCGAGTCGTGATATGATGAGGGAGTGGATGAGCTGTTTAGTGGTTTCTGGGGTTAGGAACGTGCGGATTTTGGCGATGTTGCGGAGGTGTAGTCTGCACGAGTTTGTTAAAGATTGGACTTGGGGCTGGAAGGATAGGTTGGAGTCCAGAATGACACCAAGTACTCTGGCCTGCAGGGCGGGTTTGATGGTAGCGTTGTTGGATGTGACGGAGAAATCAATGGGGTGTGGTGTCCGGGCTGGGGGGAAGACAAGAAACTCGGTTTTGGAGAGGTTCAATTTAAGGAAGTGGAGTGACATCCAGTCTGATATGTCGCTCAGTAGGTGTGTGATTCGGGCTGAGACCAAGGGGGTGAGGTGGGGGGTTGAGAGATAGATTTGTGTGTCGTCGGCATAGAGGTGGTAGTTGAAGCCGTGAGAGTGTATGAGTTGGCCAAGGGAGGAGGTATAGATGGAGAAGAGAAGGGGCCCGAGGACAGAGCCTTGAGGGACCCCAACAGAGAGGGGGAGTGAGGGGGAGGTGGTAGCATTATAGGTAACGCTGAAGGAGCGTTGTGACAGGTAGGATGAGAGCCAGGAGAAAGCAGAATCTCTGAGGCCGAGGGAGTGTAGTTTTTTGAGGAGGAGGGGGTGGTCGACTGTGTCGAAGGCCGCAGAGAGGTCAAGGAGTAGGAGCACTGAATAGTGGCCATTAACTTTGGCGGTTAGCAGGTCGTTGGAGAGTTTGAGTAAGGCAGTTTCGGTGGAGTGTAGGGGACGGAAGCCGGACTGTAGGGGATCGAGGAGGTTGTTGTCGTTGAGGTGAGAGCATAGGCGGGTATAGACTAAGACTATCCAGTTCTAAGAATTACCAAGCTCTTCCAAACAGCACAGCCGTGCTTGGCAGAGCAGGAAATATTATTTGACTCTGCTGCAGTTAAGCAACATCTACAGGTCTTTCCCCTCCCTAGCCTGTTCTGGACCGTGAAAGGAGAAGCAGCAGACTGATGAGCTCTTCTCTCTCTCTACTGTTGTCTTCTGTCTCCATGCTTCTTGCTTTCAGATGAGCACTGCAGCAAACCAAACTGTCTCCTTCTCACTCTCACAGTGTCAGTCCTACTGTACTGCTTACCTTTAAAAAAAACATTTAATTGTATATTATTAAACAAAATTTTTAAATTTAATTCATTTATACCATATATATCTGCCTGAAGTTTAGCTTTAATGGTGATTAAATGTAAAGGCTGTAACTGCCTACTGCTTATTGAGCAAGACCCTGTTTGGGTGCCTTCAAAGAAGTTTTCCACAACAAGCAGAAGCTCGCCACCCTTTAAATTGATCCTTTAAAAGTCCTTGTTAACTGAGTAACTGTAATCATTTAGCAAGACTACAAATAAGGCAGCAGCATGTATGAGGAATGATTGTTGCAGATGAGCTTCGAGGTAAAAACGCTAAAAATTAATTGGCCAAGTTGAAAACCTTCTCATTGATAATAGCTTCCCTCTGTTTTTCTGTTTTCTGGAATTCTTGGAAAGTTGTCAAGGTATGTGATATACGACAGAAGTAATTGCACAGCCAATCATGATTTTAGATGTATTTCTGATAAAATGATATTCTACCATTAATTTGCTTTATTTGTATTGACACGTAGCTAATTTCTATCTAAAGGTTATTCATTTTAATGATAACTATAGATGAAGGACATTTCAGTATCTTGGTTTGATTTCTCTTCATGGGTTCTATGTGAAGTTTTTATCAAGTCACATTTCTTTTGTCTCTTTACCAGCTGGTAGTACCAGAGTACTGCATCCATGGCCTCTTCTGTCTCATGTTTATGTGTGCTGCTGAATGGGTCACTCTTGGTCTGAATATACCACTGCTATTCTACCACCTTTGGAGGCGAGTATTTATTTATTTATTTAAAATTACCACAATGTGCAAATAAATTAGTCATATTCTGCATGGCTTTGCATATATACAAATATTTACATCAGTTCTTGTGCAGGTACAGGTTACAATGTGATATCCCCACCTGGGTATGCACCCTGCTCCAGAGTTACCTATTGACGGGAGTCTACCTACACTTGTTTCCGATGCTGGAGCCTTTCTTATCTTTCACTGATACTGGCAATGCTGGAGCATTTCTCTTTTGTTTCGCTGCTCCCACTGACACCATGGGCACATTTCTTCTTCCACTGACACCACCAATGCTGGGGCTTTTTTTTCCTCCACCAGTACTATTCCCATATTACCCCACTTCACACTATGTACACCCCTAGTAAACCCTTCATTTTGCTGTGGAGCACTAGGAATGTCAAAACCATTGTCTCGTTTTGGTGCGGTCCATTTCAACCCTCTGCAATTGTCCTTCATTCACCCAAAACCCAAGGCTCACTAACTTCCAAAAGTTCCCAGGTATGACAAACAATGTAACAAGAGAAGGTAAAAGTAGCAGACTAAACATCTGTTCTCAGCACCCAAGTAACCATTTAGTCATGATCAATTTTTCTCACACTCGCTAACTTTTTAACTATACAGTAATGCAGTTTACTTGTTTTCAAAGCTTTACTTTCTAAACTGGATTACTTTGGTGCAAGCACCAGTGTTTCACATATACCCAAGGTATTATGTTTGTTTAAGGTATCCCTGGTACACTCGAGATCAATAATTGGTTAAAGGATATATAAACTCAAAACCAAAAATGTGATTTTATTTTTACCCGTTCCTAAATGTGGTAGCAATCTTTTTCCTTTTTTTTCAAGCTAAACACATTTTTCTGCAAATACAGAGAAATAACTTAATCTTTCCAGTGTTTTAGTAGCTTTCTTTGCATTGACCTGATTTATCACACAAACATATCAGTTTTCCTATCTACCTTCTGTGAACTTTAAACAAAAGTTTCAATATGTAATGAAGACGTGGAGTGGAGGGGGGGTTATTAGTTCAAATCAGAGGAGCAACCTACTTACTGTGGCTATCCTTATAAATACACTAGTGATCATAGGCACCCTAGAATGGGAAGTTCGTTATTTGCAGGATCACCAGGTAAAAATAAAGGAAAAACACAGAAAAAAAAAATAAACTAACACATGCACTACATATAGGGACTGGTAAGTTACAATATATTATAGAGCGTATCCCTGAAGGAGGCACTCAATTCATCGGGTCCTTTGTGATTGTGCCATGACTATATAAATAACTCAGACACCAGAAATTGACAGCAAACTGGTTGAATGCAAGTAGAATATATTGTCACAGGTCAAGGGTAAACAACTGTGCAATAATGAATCAATCAGTGAAAAAAAGTTATTGATCTAGGTTGACAGCTAGAAAGAAGCAGGTTATAGTAACTCACAAATGGAAGTTATGCCACAGGAATGCATCAAATAGAAAATAATGGCAGAAAAAAACAGTGTCAAATGATAATAAGACAATGGCTAAACAATTGATCTGTCTGGCAGCATTCAGTAAATGTCACAAAAGTTCCCCTTTTTTAACCTGCAAAAGGTGTCTTTGGCTAGAGAAAGACCTATGGGTGATAACTGTAACTGTAGTCAGCAGTTAGTAGACTTCTTGCTCTCAGCCTTCTACCAGCTATTTGGTGGGGCCCAAACATTGTGTTGGTGCACTGTAAATTCCATCCCTTTATGAATTCTGCATGGTACTAAATGACAGTTAATCTTACTCTGCTAGCAAAGGTAGTGTAAAGCCAACCTGTCCGGTGTGCACAGTGAACTCTGGTCTAGATGCTTGGCACACATATCCACTATCTCCTGCTCTCAAGGACTCAGACCACAGGAAGATTATTTAATGACCAGTATGTTCATCCAATGCTGATCAAAGGTTGTTCAGCTCTATCATGAAGCTGGGGAAGCTTGATAAAACTGTAGAAGAGGATAAAAGAAAGAGCGCACCAACCTTGCGCATTACTTCAGTAAACAATGAATAATTTTATTAAAGAAATATACTCACAAGAGTAGTGATAAAACAGGCATAAAATAACCAGAGTCCACACAGGGTTAACGGTCACATGCAAAATCCATCCAAAGGGGAGATAAAAGCTAATGCGTTTCAAAGGGTGATCCCTTCTTCATCAGAGCTGGGTTTGACAGATAATAAAACTTCAATTCGGCAGAGTTCCCATAGCTAGGATGCATTCAGCCACTGAGTGTCAGTATTTCAGCCTGCTTTTATCTCCCCTTTGGATGGAATTTGCATGTGACCGTTAACCCTGAGTGGACTATGGTTATTTTATGCCTGTTTTATCACTACTCTTGTGAGTATATTTCTTTATTAAAGTTATTCATTATTTACTGAGGTAATGCGCAAGGTTGGTGCGCTCTTTCTTTTATCCTCTTCTAGATGCTTGGCAACCACGGAATCCACTGGCCACATCCTCCTCTCTGCGGAACTGGCTCCCAACAGACTAGGTCTTGGTCTCAGGCCCAAGGATGATGGGCCTCTACTTACTGCACACTGCTATTTGAAGTGTGCACTGCCTCGACCCTGCCACAGGAAGAGACCATCCTTCCTTGTTCTCTGTGAGAAAATCATCTTTGGTTCCTCTCTTGTTATCCCCACTCTTGATAAATGAAGTCCTTCCCCCATCTGCTGCAATAGCCAAGTCCCACGTGAGCTTGGTTTCCCACAATCCATCACTGTTATGCATCAGAGTCTCTGTGGTACTTTGTGTCCCACAGGCTTCCACTGGTGGATGGAAGCAGAACAGCACTGGCTAGATCAACATAGAAGTCCTGTTTGGACACAGAGCAGCTGAAGCAAGGTGTCTCTGTAGTTTCTGCTTCCTTCCCAGCTAATCACCCAGCTACAGTATTAAACTTTCATTGGTCTTTATACATGTATTAAATGTGCTTAAGGTGCTTAGAGCAAATGGTGTAGGGATCATTTCTTCATTCTCTAAATACATGTAAAAGAGGAATGGAGGTAGGGTTCTGCCTTGAACATATTGTAGTCTATTATTCAGTGCATTAAAGTGGTTTTAAAGAATTAAGGTCTTTTTCCCTTCAGGCTTTTTATGCATGAAGTTAAAAAACCTTTTGTGTACAGCAGTCCCCCCCCAATTCTTACCTGAGCCCCCTCTGATCCAGCTATGTTCACAATAGCCTTGGCTGTACTGGCTGAGACAGAATTGGGAGCCCATTGGTTCCCACTGCTGTCAATCACAGCCAGTGAGTAAAAGAGGAGAGAGCATGGGGGAGAGGCTCTATGGGGTTTATTTACTAAACCTGGTTGACTCAGAATCTTGTCCACTTCTGCATAAAAACCAATCAGCTTCCAGGTTTTATTGCTGAAGATTAACTGAACATGCTAAGGTTAGAAACTGATTGGCTACCATGCACAGGTGCCCAAGATTCTGAGTCAACCAGGTTTAGTAAATAAACCCCTATGTGTCTGATGGGCGCATAGAGCAGCAGCTCGAAAGCAAGCATGCATCAGTGCCCCCAGGGCAAGCAGCTTTTTCTGGGGGCACTGCTTGAGGGAGAGGAACCAGGAGCACTGATGGGGGACCTGGAAAAAAAGGATCAAAAAGATATGTAAATATCCCCCTGGGAATTTATAAGGCAAAAACATGTGTGGAACAGTATAAAACAATACATTTTTATTACAAAAGTTTTTTTAATAAAAAGAATCAAAAGACTCAATAAGATCAAACTGCAGTACAACAAGTTATGACTCAAGAATTAGATAACATTGTACAGTATACATATAACTTGTATTACATCAACTGGCAAACGTGTTGCACACACGTTTATGCCATGGGGATATTTACATATATTTTTGATTTTTGTCTTGGTATTGGGATGCTGGCAAAAATTATGTAAACAGTGGGACACTTTACCCAATCTTTGCCCTGGTTCACATATTTGCGGCCATGTGGGCTGCATTTTGCACGGGCACGAGAGCCCATTCATTTGAATGGACTCTTGTGCCCCGTGACATGCAGGGAAGAAGTCTCTGCACTGCTTCTGAAAACGCAGCCTACACGGGAACCTCGGTTCCCAGTACGATTGCGGTTTCCAGTGCGGGCAGCGTGCCATTAGAATTAATGGCACCCGCCCGCGGGTCTGCATTTCTCTGTGTGGGTGGTGCGGCTGCACGGATTTTGTGGATCCACAGCAGCACCACCCACACAGATGTGAACCTAGCCTTTAGTTTTAATTGAAAAGAAGAGGATTGGGGCAGCTTTGTGCAAAACTACTGCACAGAGCAGGTGTGTATAACAGGTTTGTTATTTTATAAAAAAAAAAACAAAAACGAAGCTTTAGTATCACTTTAAATGTTTTAAGCACACAGTGGAGACTGTAGCATGAGCCCATGGGGTTGATTTACTAACCTATAGAGGTTGTTCACTTAGCCTAGTAAAAGTGGTGAAATCCCTCTGCTTGGAGTTCTGTAATTGGTCCTTCGCAGACATTTTGAGATTCATTGTATATTTTTACAGTAGCAGCATATCAGTGAGCAGAGGGTGGAACCATTTACACACTGTACAGCTAAACAAAAGGCTTCGCTTCTCAAAATACACAGTACGTTTTATCCATACTTTGATAATGAGTGATCATTTCAACAGCATTGCTTTGCATCTCTAGCATTGGTAATAAATGTTAAATCTTATGTCTCTAAAGATGACACATGGCCATAGAATGAAGTTGGATGAGAAATGGTCCAATTTAAACTGTGTAAAGGGTTCTTTACTTTTAGAGCAGCAAGGATGTAGACTTCCCTTTCACAGTTGGTGGTGTCAGAGGAGAGTGTGAGTGTAGAAACCTTTAGT